AAGATCTTTTATTAAAACAACATCCTGAAACAAAAAATCTATGTATTGATGCTAAACAGATAAAAATCGATAAGAATAAGAATATAAATACAGATGATTCATTGGATAAAGAAATATCTTCTGATACCGAAGATGAATTAAAAAATGGAAAGCAATTATCCATTGATGAAAACACAGAAGCGATTGAAGAATTAGCGCCTCAAAAACGTTTAAGATATAATGACTATGAGAAAATTTTACAAAAAGATCATGACTCGTACAGAAAGTATAGAGATTTTGTTATTAAAAAATGGAATGATAAAACAAGAATTGCTACAGGCTCGTTAAACAAAAATTCTAGTCAGACTACACTGAAACAAATTGAATTTGCCATGAGCGATATAAGCAAGTTACGAAAGAGAACTCAACTGAAGCGTTCTGAATATAATGTTGTCGGTAAATGTTTGCTAAATGAAGATAATGATAATAGGAGAATTCAGGAATACGATCCAGAAATTTACGACGATGATGATTTTTATCATCAACTATTGAGGGATCTGATAGAGTATAAATCATCGGATGTGACGGATCCTGTACAGCTCAGCAAACAATGGATCCAATTACAGAACATGCGTAAGAAAATGAAAAGAAAAATTGATACTCGTGCGACGAAGGGTAGGAGGGTACGATATAATGTTCACAATAAGTTAGTTAATTTCATGGCACCCATTACAGTATATGATACATGGACAGACAATGCAAAAAATGAATTGTACAATTCGTTGTTCGGGAAAATAAAATCGACGGAGGAAGAGATGAAATAGGTATATAAATTATAGTATACAATTTTATGTCTATAACAGAAAAATTTAAACTCCATGTATGTATTGCTAAATAAATTTCACTATCTGTTCCTACATAATTGAAATAATTTACCTTTATTAAAAAATTAAGTTCTATTTTTTAATTAAACATTTAATTAAGAAGATATATGTCAATAATGGATAAAAATAAATCGTAGTCATTTATTGAGATATTAAACTATCACCAAAATATTTGAAAAAATTCTTACAATTTCTAATATATAGAACGTTTCAACTCTACTCAGTCTTTTGATTCAATCATGCACGCACACATTTTCAATGAGTGCATTCAGAACGACAACCGCTCACTGAACTCTTTCATCTGATTGACATTCCCTTAGATTCTAAAATATAATCAATCATTTGAAAGAGCTCAGTGAGCGGTTGCCGTTCTGAATACACTCATTAAATTTTATTATTATAAAATTATAAAATTTATAAAAAGACAAATGCAAAAAATTTGGTAAAAGTATCTTTTCCAGTTCGCAATCTCTTCATGAGCAGCACACTGCGACAGCAAAATGGCTACGTTCAGCGGAACGTTTATTTTGCAATTGTTGGAAGTTTGCTTTGGGCTGATTGGATTGTATTTTTAGATCTAGAAGAATGGTCCTATCTTAGCAGACAATCGTAAAACGGTTGCAAAACTTGTATTCTGCTGAACACAACCAATGCGCTATAAAGTGCTTTCCATGTGATGACACAAGTCGACACAAGCGTCGTTCTATCTTTCTTGACATTCAAAGAGTGACAAAAATAGAACGACACTTGTGTCGACAAATGGAAAGTACTCACAATTGATTAAAAATTTTTCGTGAGAGAGAAACTTTTAACAAGGTTTTGTCATGTGCAAGAATCGACATTTTGCTATTCCAGAGCTGTCTCAGAAATATTGCAGACATATTTCGCAATTTTTATGAAATGTTTCACTTTTCAGTTGAAATATCATATTTCTGAGATGTTTCTGAAAACTTTCGGTGCTGTATGGGTTATTTAAATAGTATAAACACGATGTTTACTGCGTCTATTGTTAGTAAACGACTAAATATCATGGAGTAATATTAATAGAGCATTAAAAAATAATAGCTGTGATTGGAATATCTTCGACAACACTGACATTAATTCCATCTCTTGCAAAACCCTCAAAACTAAATCACGTTCCTAATATCTGACATTTGGAGTGATCCGGTTCAAAAAATAAAATCAGAAAGTGTGTTTGTACGAAAACGTATTTATTTCGAACGACCTGAACCTACAATAGTTACCGACAATATGTAACTAAATTAAGTTAAAAAGTTAAGAGTCTAAAATATAACTAAGTTAAGTTAAAATTAATTAACTTTTTAACTTAACACTATGCCAACCCTGGTGATATGATGATCTTCAACGAAATTATGAGCAGTCAAGTCCAAATGTTCTTTTTATTTAATCCGCGATAAGTCACTAAAAATTCTTGTGGCCGATTTCTTCATCTCTAAATAACTTCATCCATGAGATATATTCCAGATGGATTCCTCATGGATAAACGACATATCTGAGAGATATTTGAAGGATATCTCATAGATAAACACAATCGATAAACTAGAAGACTATACCGGTCAAAGCTAGATCTTTAATTTAAATCTATATATATAACTCATATCATTATTAATATAATAATTATTCTCTGCATATACAAAATATTTTTTACAAATTATTCTATTGTTCAAGCTAATTAAATTACAAATAATTCAAAGTGAATTATATACAGGGCAAAGACATAGAGAATGGACTGTGCGATCCGTATCTATAAGTAGTGTTCAAATTTAGTTGACAATAATGAGAGAGAGGAACTGTGGAAGACGACCAATCTGTATCTCATTCTCTCCCATTATACCATCAAATGGAAAGAGGTACGGATTGGCCGTCTTTCACAGTCTCTCTTTCTTACTTTTATCGACTACGGATCACGCAGTCCATTCTCTACGTCTTTGATATGTATGTATATACTATATATATACATACATGCATATATACCATATTTGTAGTCATTCGAATGACTACCAAATATGATGCATGTACATATATAGTATATACAATATAATTCACTTTGAATTATTTAAGCATTAAAGATCTATAGCTTTGACCGGTATAGATCTATAGTTTATCGATTGTGTTCTTACATGTACGATTTAAAATATGATTCTTATTGTTCAATGGATGAAGTTATCGACAACTTCGAAGTGAAGAAATTGAGCATTAGGAATATTTGGAAAAAAAAAACTTTAAGCACTTTAAGCTTCCATGTTAGAACGTCAAAAATTTTTGCAAATTTTTTTTAGGCACATGAAAGATTTAGAAAAAGAAAATTTCCCATTTTGTCCAGCTCATAGTTTTCTGTATATAAAAATCATGAAATTCAAAAATTCGTAAGTGTTAATAATAAATCAAGCACGAATTTTTGTACTCAATAATAACCTATTATATAACTCGTATCATAATTAATATAACAATTATTATCTGCACATACAAAGTATTTTTTACAAATCATTCTATTGTTCAAGAGTAGCTAATTAAATTACAAATAAATCATATGCATTTTATACATTAAGCGTAGTAAATGATTTTTTTTCATATTAATATGTTAAATAAGTTTTTAAGAGAATTTTCAGAAAAAATACATTATTTCCAAATGGGTCGTGCATAATAATTATTCATAATTAAAAAATAATATAATCAAATTTTTCCTATCATCTTTACATTCTTAGCACTTTTAACTTCCCTATTTATATACAGTATCTTTTTCTGTTCTTTTTTATTATGATACATTTACAACTTATCATATGTTAATGAAATGAAAATTGTACATAATGGAGACGTTGCACATACACCATTAATAATAGAATGAAAATTAATGGTCAATTTCTTCACCTCTAGATATCTTTATTCAAATGATATTTCCCAGAATACAACGGAGATATCTCCTGGATAAGGTTATCCGCAACTTATCTGGAAGTGAAGAAATTGGGCATTATCCACGAGATATTTTGGAGACATCTCATGGATAAAATTATCTAAAGATGAAGAAATTGGCCATAAGTTAAGATTTGGCTTGTGTTTCAATATATATATATATATATATATATGTTTGAATTGAACAAGTGTGAATGGCTATGTTCGGCAAAGAAACTAATTAATTAGTGCTTAGTGATTCTTTAAGGGGATACTGGAGTCGTTTGTATTACCGATAAAACTATTCCAAATTCGGTAGTAGTGACATCTTTCATTTCTTGTACTTATTATATATCGTAATGTCTCACTCAAACGCATTCATCTGTCCTTATCTAACATATTGCAACGCCATCTCTTAGAAGATCGAACACTTACTACTAGATACAATTATTGTTTTGTTTACCATTCCGAGTTTTCGCTCAGTGTTCGTATACACGTCATTTGCAGATCGATACAAATCTTTCTTTTGAAGCTTTTAATCTTATATTAGTTTCATAAACTCAGTATTGTTTGTGCACGTAATGCGCTGAATGTTGCACTATCGTTTGGTTCATACGAGCTATAAAACTTTTGTATTAAGGAAACATCTACGTGAGGTGACAACTCCAGGAGTTGAAAAAATGTGTTTTTAATTTTTTTTCCCGATTTTAGTATAAAGTCTATTGCAGCACTCCCAAATTTTGCATCTATTTTAATCTTGCAAAAAGATTTTTAATTCCGTTCAGTAAATTCGCAGATTTATATCGATCTGCAAAATATCGACAATTTGGCCACTCCAGCAAAATATCGACAATTTGGCATCTCCTTAATACATATGATTGCCTTGCCTTTAGTTCTTTGGTGGATCTAAGTGTAGGAACCAATCATATTGAAGAATCACTAAGCGCTAATTAGTTTTCTCTACTAAATGCATACTGTGTGCATGCGCGTGTATGTATGTGTATCTAATACTTCACATGATATCTCATATTTTAAAGAATCTTTATTTATCTTCGCCTTTATAAAACTGTGTTAAGTGATTTTCGAGAGTCGAAGACTCTCTTATAAACAAAAAATCGCAATCTTTATAAAATATAATCTTTTAATTTATAAACCAATTAACGTTAATTTTTCGTTTTGAAAATAATATGTATATTGTATCGATATATAAAAGAATATATTGCGCAATAGTAATGTGGTATATAAATATGTTGTACTGCTTCAAAGAATATCCATCTAATAACTGCTAAGACAATTACAATGCTTAATATATATTGATGTTTAATCTTCTGTTTATTTCTTTTATTTCTTCTTCTTAACTTTTAAATCTTTATTTTTCAAGCTTCTACGTGTTAATCCCCAAAATTCTTTGGGCCTTAAATTACTTTGAACTGCTGTGAACTTCCAACCAACGTGATGACGACAACCTTTACAGATAGCTATTGTCCATGCATATCTAAAACGATATAGTTATTACTATTATTAAAGATAAAATAAATCGCGCATGATTCCTGATATACTACAATGTCGCATTTTACCCTGGAAACCAGCTATACTCAGTCGAAGGATCCGAATTGTTAAGTACAACTCCTTGAACATGATAAAAAGTTATAGTTTCATGTATAACACCACCAGGATTGACATAAGTACCCTGTGGGCCTTCTTGATTCATCGGGAACATATGTGACTGCCTCCCAATAAAGGATTCACAATGAACGCATACATATATTTTATCCTTCAAACCACAGATGTTGATATTAAAGGCGATATATAAAAAATGCACATAGTCTAATTATTATATATGGTATGATATTATTTTATATGTACCTCTACGAGATATTTTATTTCTCTTTGTAATCGAGAAATAGCACAGTCATAAGTTAACAACATGAGTCTTTCATTGTGATCCATTAAGATATTTTGTGCGACCCAAAAGGACAAATCTATGGGATTTTTGGGTACACTACCACCTCCTAAAATGTAAATTGCAATTTAAAAAATTGTGATAAATATTAAAATATAATTTTATTTATACACTTACAATACTTACTAGTTTCAAGAAATTGCAAATGCTGGCGTATTCTAAAAGAAAGTCTTATGGGATCGTACTGTCTATAAACCCAAGCTGGCCAAGCAGTCACTGCAGCGTCCAAGTTTTCTACTCTTTCCTGCTTTTTCATATCTTCTTCAGAATCGACAGAAATTCTTAAATGATCTAATGAGGCTAAGCGTTGGTCCAAAAACGGTGGCTCAAGTGTTATCTCTGGTAATACTTTAACGTTGGCCGAAATTTTATTGTTATCCTGATTATAAGTATTATCAAATTGTTATAAACAATTTATAATGAACAGCATTTATTGTAAAATGTATAACTAAAATAATATTATATTATCTAAAATTAAAATCATACGATATGCTCCTATGCTCAAAAATATCAAAATTATTAAATCCTTGCTTATTCAACGGTTATTCTTATATGTACTTCAATTATTTTGAAAATAACAACTTTTATAAAAAAAAAAGGTTAAAATTTGCATAATATTTACATAATTAAATATATTCGATTAATTGATCGAATGAATATATTTAACCTTTTTTGTACGCCGAAACTTTTCTGTTTTTGAAACGTTCCCGCTGAACAAGAAGCCGCGCCAAAAGTGTACATATTGCCCGCGAACAATCTTTAGTATTCGGGCAGCGTAAAAAAAAACCGTATCGAGACAAAGTGAAATAAAGCAATATTGAGTGACACTGGCGTAAACGTAGAATCAGAACATAAACAAAATATAGACAGAGTTGTATTTTGCAAGTTCAGAATAAATGTACGGAGTTTTGGCGAGCGACTATAGTCACCCATCGTAATGCAAGTGGCGTCTTGTGGAGAGTGACTATAGTTGCCAGTATATCGTAGCAAAAGGATTAATTATTAGCGTTTTCGAGTGGAGTGGATTTGAACCCGACTCAGTTCGGTTAACCCACGTTTGACCCGAAAGTATCATAATCTCGTCATGAAGTCAACATCTGTGCTAGAGAGAAAGGCAGAGAGTCCCAAATGTTCGCAATGCGCATGCGCAGCACCGTCGTCTGTGTAAATTGTACAGTTGTGTAATGTTTCTTACACATCTGTGTAACGTACGAATGTGTAAGAAACACTAAACCAACTGTACAATTCACACAGACGACAGTAATGCGCATCTGCATTGCAAACATTTGAGATTCTATAGCTTTCTCTCTCGCACAGATGTTGGCTTCACGTTTAGCGCCCTATCCCTCTTTCAGTAGTATATGTTCCAAGATAAACACTAACCTGTGTAATAATACGTAATATTTTAAAGCGTTGTCTGCCTTTAGCTTTTAAACGAAACTCTCGTCGACCGTGATCCAACCATATACCTCCGTCTGTGTATTCGTAGATTTCAGCAGTTGTTCCTATTCGCTCGAAATCAGGATTACCATAACACACGACACCAAAAGTACGATCGTTTTGTATACAAGTTTGTAACATCTCTATAGTCTGTGTGCCAAAGACTGTCATTGGTAACGTTTGTCCAGGGAACAATACAGACTGCTTTACTAATAATGGTAGATTTATATAAATACCATCATCCAATATAGTTCTTCCTCTCAATTCCTCTAAATTTTGTCCTAAATACTACACAGAATAAATTTAATTACATATTTTACAGAGTTTTAAGTTACGTGTGTTACAAATAAACATGACTAATAGTATATTAAATGTTATTTATCTTTAGAATATCAGAAAATATACTTACAGAATGTGCTGCTGATAATGTTACATCAAATGTATTCTCTGAGGGCACTGGTACGTTGTCCATATTGGGCTCTAGCCTATTGCTTGACAGGTCTAAGAATGTATTACTCTGCTTACCATATATTTGGTAATATATTTAATATACATATATTTTTTATTACATTAAGGGGTAATTATTCACTTTAGGGGAGACAGCTCTGATGACCTTAACGTATGTTGTCAAGGTCTTGACCCTGAGTGACCGCCAACAGGTTCTAGTCGTCGCTCATTATTCATTATCCCCCGCAACTCGCGATCTCGTGTAAAGGAACCACGGTAGTGTCGTTGTGCTTGGCTTAGCGCCGAGACACTACCGTGTCTCCTGAAAAGTTATTAAGAAAAAAAGTTTGAAAAATGATGTCTCTTTCTACTATATAAAACAAAAATTTTCTGCTTTACAATATACCAGGTATGTAATATGAAACCGGAATTTACCAATAGATGGCCATAGCTGTCAATGTAGTTGACCGTCAGACCGCGTCATTGACGCCATTTCCTTGTTCTGACATCTAACAAAGATTTTCAACTCACAACAATACAAGTTTCATACAACAGTATAGTTTGTAATAGCGTTGAACATGTCGAATTTTGTGCCTGGAAACTACGATTTGCAGACAGCATTGATTTTCTGTTACCATTTGAAGAAAACTGCTGCAGAATCGTATCGAAGCTTGTCGAAGCTTACCTTGGTGACCATGCTCTTGGTAAATCACAGTGCTTTGAGTGGTTTAAAAAATTCAAAAGTGGCGATTTTGACGTGAGAAACGAAGAACATGGAAAACCACCGAAAAAGTTTGAAGACA